TAAGCTATAATGATACTAAATTTCCAGAAATGGAATATAGAAGCTGTACCATTAGCAGCCAGTGTACCCCAGAGGGGGTCTGACACTCGGTGCCCCTGGCCTTGTCTCTTCCTCTGTGGGTGTAGACCAAATCCTTGCACTCCCCATTAACAGGACTGTACAGCTCAGAGGAGGGTCATAAATGCATCCATGAAGTCACACTGCAAATCTTCAGTGGTTTTTAATTATTGCTGAAGCTCTTTGGAAACACAATTCCCCTTAAATCCAGGTCAGCTAACTGGAAAAAATAAAATATAGTGTCTGGTGTATGTCGAGGGCTTTGACATCTAGGAAGCCCCTTCCTTCCACTGGCTCTTCGATCCTCTCTTCACTCTAAGAAGTGGTTGTCATTTTTATTCCCATTTTACAGATTTGAGGAACTAATACCCGAGACCCCATAACTTGCCCAAGGCCATTCACTCTAAGATCCCCGAGTATACTTGCATTTAAGAGACTAATTCCCCATAGAGAGGCTTCTTGTTTAAAATCTAAGAAAACACCAGATAAGAGGCATTCTAAATATATTTCTTTTCTATAGATGCTGATCTCCTGTTACTGGAAAACAGGAATTAGCCTGTCTGCTTGAGGATGTGGTTGGTTCTTTATAAAAAGGATACAGAAGAAATTTGCACAGACTGCCAGCTTCATTATGCTGCCGGCGGCTTCCAGCAAAAGGAGAACGTTTGCAGCCAGATATTTCTGTAAGAATTTTATTATATTCTATGTGGGAAATGGTTACCTTTGTTCTTGACTTCCTGCTTGAGGGATGGGGGTCCCCTGAGGCCACCAAAGGCACTAAGTCCTTTGCTAGCAGCTTGACCCCCTTCTGCTCCTGGTCCTGACCCTGGCACAGCCTTTACCCCTGAAGAAGGGCAACTAGAAAACTCAGGCTCCGGAATGCTGGCCTCCAGGGAGCTAGGGCTCTGGTGGCATTCAGCACTTATAAGGGCCATCATGTCCACAGACAGCGGGGACTAGGCAAGTCCTGTGTATCTTAAGGCTGCTCTGTATCCCTGCCGGGAAATGATCCAGCCAAGTGATTAGTTGAGAAAGAGTGAGGATGTTTCGGTTGCCCCCGTTGAGTGCCTTGGAGGTAACTGCTAGGCAGAGTGGGATGACTGTCTGTTTGGGTCACAGACAGTGCAGGCTGGGTGAGCTGTGCAGGTGCTGGTCTGGTGGGCCACACAGGAGCCAGGTGGGACACGTCGTGTGATGATGTTGCCTGGTCATCTGTCCTGAGCACCCTCAATGCTAATCTAGATGTTAGTGGGCTAAATGCAGTCAGTGGTCCTTAACCTGGCTTCACATTAGGGTCACTGGAAGAGCTTTCAAAAACCCCTGGGCTCCTCCTTCAGTGATTTGAGTTTAGTCTTAGATCCCAGGCATCAGCTTATTTTTAAAGTCCCAGATGAATGTACTGTGTGAGGGTTAGGAACCAGCAGACTGAGCCCAGGGAGGGCTCCTACTCCACACCGCCATCTTTGACAAGATCTGAGCAGGTATTTGTAGGAATGTAAAGTAAAGGTCCATGTTCACAAAGAACAGGACGAGCTGGACGCCAGGACCTCTGGGTCTGACTCTGGGCTGCAGACTCTTACCACATTGTTAACCTCCTTGGATCTCACCTTCCAAAAGAAAACATGGGGAAAGGTCAGGGGGCTTTTAACTCTCTTGGGCCTAATGCACAGAGGGTCTATAAACCTCCAGATGTTTTTCTCTGTGCTGGGCATCATCCAATTGAACGGAAAAGTCATTTGCTTATGTCAAAGGGTCTAGCCACCAGATTTCTGTGGTGTAACAGATTGTCCCTGGCATCATAATGCATATGCAAATCCCCTGAGAGAGGGATAAAGGAGATATTGCCCAGGATACTGACACTGAATGAATTGAATTAATATTTTGATTGAGGTGAAATTTACATAACAAGAAATTAAGCATTTTAAAGTGTGAAATTCTGTGGCAATTCATCTATTCATAATGTTGTGCACCCACCAGCTCTATCTGATTACAAGACATTTATATCACCCTGAACCCACTAAGCAGCGGCAGCTCCCTCCTCTCCACCCAGCACCAGGCAACACCAATCAGTGTTCTTTGGATTTATCCATCTGGATGTGTCATATAAATGGGCTTGTGCAATTTGCATCCTTTGTATCCTTTCTTGTCTAGCTTCTTTGGCTTTGCACAATTCTCCAAAGGTCCACCAAGATTGTAACACGTATCAATACTTCATTCTTCTTGATTTGTTTTTTGAATGATTATTTGGCAAGTGTGCAAAAATGAATACCATTTAATGGAAGATTGCAGAAAGGAAAGGATTCAGCTAGCATAGGGGTGGGGGGCTTCTTCTCCCCATCCTTGCTCTCTTGGATGATGGCCGCTCTGTTCTCTCTCTCTCTCTCTCTCTCTCTCAATATTATTGGGGAATTTGAGTTTGCTTTTAGCTGACATTTTCAGAGACTTGGGGCAAATGGAAAGTTCTTGGCAGCTAAATTGTGCTATTGTACTTCAATTTTGCCAAGTCGAGAACCTGCCATAACTTTCTAGCCGGAAGCTAGAGACCCGCCAGTGCTGGCCTTGGTCTTTCAGTTGGTGAGCCCTGTGTTGAAACTCTCGCCAGCAAGGGCAGCACCTTAGGATCCGTCTGTATCTTGTGAGCCCTCAGCTTTTCCCAGGGAACTATCATGCCAACTAGACCGTCTGCAGCCTCTTCTTTCTCTTGCTCCCCAAGCTTCTGATCACTGGTCTGCCTGGTTCTCTCTCATGGACTGGTGGCTTCTCCCTGTGGCTGACCCTCCTGCATAATCTTCTACCACAAGGAGCCATTGCATATCTGAGTCATTGTGGTAAGGACAGTGGCCTCTGTTCCGACCCAGCCAGAGTGTCAGAAAGAAGGAAAAGCTTCTGAGTCCAGCTCTGAGTCCAGCAGCTCCAGCACCAAC